ACGTAAACTCTTAGGGTCAAGTCATATCTTTTGCAGTGTAATTGTTTCTCCTTATAAAGTGTTCATTTAGGTAATCTGGAAGTTGGACCTGATGAAAAGGACACTTGAATTTAATCAAACACAGAAAAAAAATGTGTCTAACATTATAAGTGCAACAATGAGATATATCAAGAAAAGCAAAGAGTACAAAATCAAATTATATTGGAGAAAAACACTGCTTTTCTAGTCTTTCATGGTAAGTATTTTACTGTCAGGCTGTAACAGCAAAGTTAGAGCCAGAGGAAGAAAGTTGCTGGAGTGGACAAAAGGCAAAAGGTCTTTTCAAGTTTCTCCATGGTATTAACACTTAAGGTAGTGATGTATGCCTGCACATCACGTGCAGTGAGATACAGCAAAAGTTCAACCACTAGGATATTGATCTGAGAAATTTGGAAATGCAACTTTTATTTCAATAAGTGAAATTATTAGGTAAATGAATACGAAAGCATTTTTAACCTGTAACGAGGGAAATGGAATAGATTTCCAGGAAAGAAATGGCAGAAACAGAAACTGTAGTTAAGAATAAGGCTGTTAACCGACCCAAATGCCCATTGATGATAGACTGGACAGGGAAAATGTGGCACATATACACCATGGAATATTATGCAGCCATCAAAAACGATGAGTTTGTGTCCTTTGTAGGGACATGGATGAACCTGGAAACCATCATTCTCAGCAAACTGACACAAGAGCAGAAAATCAAACACTGCATGTTCTAACTCATAGGCGGGTGTTGAATAATGAGAACACATGGACACAGGGAGGGGAGCACTATACACTGGGGAAAATAGGGGAGGGACAGTGGCGAGTGGAGAGTTGGGGAGAGATGGCATGGGGAGAAATGCCAGATATACGTGAAGGGAAGGACAGCAGCAAATCACACTGCCACGTGTGTACCTATGCAACAATCTTGCGTGTTCTTCACATGTACCCCAAAACCTAAAATGCAATAAAAAAAGAAAGAAAAAAAAATAGCTGCCTTTTATAGAGAAAAAAAAAAGAATAAGGCTGTTAAAGACACATGATTTGTGCTTATAAATCAAACCTCTTGCAACTTTATGAAGAGCAAATACATATTTTAAGAAAATCTTGTAGTTTCAAATGTTGAGGATCAGATTCTGGTCAGGTGTCAGTGCACCCTTGATACCAATGTTTACTTTTTAGAAAAACACATAATTTTTTTTTTCAATCTCAACTCAATCACACAAAAAACATCTAACACCCATCTTTCATAACTCTTCTTCAACTTGTCTAGACCTTTTATAATGTTTTTAAAACCTCCAGTCTTAGTCTTATAATTTTTTTTTCTTTTGGGGCAACCAATCATTTTATCTTAGTAAGATTTCTTCATACAGAATAACCTTTTAAAATTTAAATTTTCATTAAAAACCTAGATATTATGTCTTTTTATAAAAGACCAACAAATCTTTTTTTAAAAGAAGACTAATCTTTTTTTGTAAAAGAGAAATAAATCTTTTTATAAAAGTCTAATAACTTTATAAAATTTAAGATGCTAGAAGAAACTTAACAATTTGTTTTAATTTTTTAACGTATTCTAGTATTACCCAGACATTTAATGAGTACCTAATAGTTAACTTACCATAAGGTAACTTTTAAGATTTTAAGTTATATGAAAACTTCATTCACAAACATTTATTTTATTAGTAATTATCCAACTTACTTATTTATTAACAATTATATCTGGATTACTTATGAAAATGTAGATATTAGAGCTACTCATTTTAAGTTACTTTTTATTAACCAATTTGTAGCTAGTTAATATCAGATGTTTAAGTAAGAAGCTTAGAGTTAAATGGATGTACACCTCATTGTTAACTCAGAAAATATATTTTTATTAAAATGTAATTAACTTTTAATTAAATATATTATTAACTAATAATAATCAAATTTTAACTTACTAATGCCTAAATGTAACTCTAACCCTACTAAATTATTAATTCAATATCAATTACTGAATTAATCTTATTTATCAAAAATTATACAAACCTTATTTTGTTTGAGGCTGGGTTTATAGGTTTATGACTAACATATCTAGTAGGGGCAACTATAAAACTGACCAGTTAACTCAGGCAAAAATGTATGCTGACAATTTTGAAAATATTTCGAATTTTATTTTATTAACAACTTAAAAACAATCTATTTATTTGAAGTTGATTTAAGTCATGTGAACTAAATAAAACATTTGTGTAATTAAAATATATTTTATATGCGTGCCCACTTATCCTAAGAAAATTTTTAAAGAAATTTCTGGCCAACGACAGCACATTTTATCATTTAGACTTAATATATAATGTAATTTATGTACATATGTAGAAACACTTCTAAACATATACCTATATAGAGAAAGAGATCTTATAGCTTAGATTTTAGTCATAAGATAGTAAAACATATTAACTCATCAGTTGATTAAAAACATTTGAGTCTAAATCTTTTTTTTCTTTGACAAAATGGGATAAGGTTAAATCTTAAGTTTTTCTTTTAGTTTGGCTTTGTCAAGAAGCAATTTTACAAAGGCCGTGAACTAAATTTTGGAGACAGACAGTTGAGTCGGTTACTAACATTTTGGATCAGACAAGGAATAGTTAATTTTGAGAATGTGACTCAATCATGTGAGGAGGCTCCCAAAAGATTTTAACAAGGTTCATATTGTATTTTCTTGGTCTCAACTACTTGTCTTCCGTTATAATAATGTTGCTATTCCTTTTAGTACAAGAAAAGTGTCTCTTACATGGGAATTTCACCATTTGCTTTTAAGAAACAGCATAAAAATAAAAATGATCTTATTTTATCTTTTCTGACTTTCAAGTGTTCAAGCGTTTTTGTTTTGTTCTGGTTTGTTTTGTTTGAGACAGTCTTCGTCTGTCTCCAGGCTGGAGTGCAGTGGTGCGATCTTAGCTCACTGCAACTTCTGTCTCCTGGGTTCAAGTGATTCTCCTGCCTCAGCCTCCCGGGTAGCTGGAACTACAGGCATGCACCATTATGCCTGGCTAATTTTTGTGTTTTTAGTAGAGACGGTTTCACCGTGTTGGCCAGGATGATCTCGATATCCTGATGTCGTGATCTGCCCGCCTCGGCCTCCCAAAGTGCTGAGATTACAGGTGTTAACCATCGTGCCTGGCCCCAAGTGTTTCTGCGTACATAACCAGTATACCAGATTATCTGAGGAGCTTGGAAAAACAGTTTAGCTTAGAGAAAGATAAAGAGGACAAATTACAAGAGAAAGGGAAAGCCCTGGAGAGGAAAACATGTCAGCTAGCTTTAAGATAGTGTTTTGTAGCAAGGCACTCAATTAAGATATGAGGCTTATTTGGAGTACAGAATTTTATAGCTGTGGTCTTTTAGTTTAGATTTAAGAATAGACTGTTGAATGGTCTCTGCAATATTTGAATATGTTACCAGCTGGAGTCCCAGAAAATATGTTGGCATGCCTTTAAACTTTGAGAATCCATTTGTAACTAGATTTATCTAGGTGATTTTATTTAATGCCAAATACACAAAAGCCAATTAAATGCAAGCACTGATTATGAAAAGGCCAAATAAACCCAAGAAGGAAGATCAGCTGCCTTCTCCAACTGAAGGAAAAAAGAAAAATGCTGTTGTCGAGGCTTCAACCTGAAAAGAGAAATCCTGTCACCCAGACCTCCCAGCTGAAATCTGCGAGGAGGAAGATAGTCCTCCCTAACAGGAGATCTCCCAATCAGAGGTAGAAAGACATCTCCAACCAAAATCCAAATAAAACAGAAGTCAACTAAAATTGGGAGTTGAGTCCAAGAGACTCACCAGGGAGAAATGAGGCAACCTGCAGAAGCAGTAGAGTCATGGGAGTCAGTGAGTCCCTGTTAAGTATGTCATGCCCTAGCGCTGTGGACCAGTGATTCTCCCAAACTGAATCAGCTTTGGAACACAGCTTGACACCAAGTAGGTCAAAATCAAAATAAAATATAGGGACAGATCTCTGCATTTAAAATGTTTTATTAGAGAGGTGAGAATTGTAATTTGGCCTAAACGCAGGGACCAGGGGGTCTTTGGTTTGTCTAAAGAACAAAACAAAGATTGGAGGTGTTATTAAAAAAAGAAAGTTACGTATTGTTTTGAAAGAAAATTTACTGGCTCTAGTAAAGTTTTGAGGAGCTGGCAAGTTCTGATTGGTGTGTGACAGTGGTGGGTAAAACCAGTCTTGCAGTCACAGCAAGTTATTTTAGTAGCTGTTAGATAAAACTGGTTTTAGGCTGCAACAGGCCGTTTAGCAGCTAGGTTTGTGGAGAATTATATTTCTGAAGCGATGCTATGTGCCCTGAGTGCTTTTTCCCCCTGGCCAGTCTACTCTGCTTTAGTTGCATATGACAAGAATGACCTCATTTGTTTCATCAGCTTTTGCAGATCAAAGAAAGTTTAATTTTCTTTTGGGTAAAGCCAATTAGCAAACGTGGATGTGTATGATCTCCTCCTCACCTTCACTCTTAACGCCCCACCCCATTTTATTTTGGCAGATTTTAGTTCACACTGAACTAAATAGTTTTAATTGGTTTTTGTGTATTTGGCATTAAACAAAATCACCTAGATAAATTTAGTTACAAATGGATTCTCAAAGTTTAAAGGCATGTCAAGAGATTTTAGTTCAGACTGAACTAAAATTTTAGTTCAGACTTTTCCCTGTGGTAATAGTCTTGGATAAAATAGCCATTGTCTGTGTGACATTGTTCAGTGCAATTCTTGCTCTGTCAGAAGGTACTTCATCTTTCCAGTTATATCTTTGTGGACTCTCAGTTTTACATTTTGTTTAATAGGTTATAATCTCCTATTCTGGTACTCATATTGTTTCAGATTTGGATATGAAAGTCCTGTCAAAGTGCCATGTCTATCCTTGAGCTCCAAAATCATTTTCAGGCTTAAAGTTAAAAAAAAAAAAAAAAAAAAACTCAGCAGAATACCTGTAACCATTTTTGCCAGTGTTTGAAGTGGGTTTTATGTGTAGCCTGATTCATAGGAATAAATTAACCAGACAGATACAAAACTTCAACTTTGTTTAATTAAAACAATTCTTGTTTGTTTCATCCTTAATAATCTTACTTTTTGTTTCCCTGTTATCTAAGACATTAACTTAGTGTATTTTTTGCCTGCAAATCCATTTTCTTTCTGTGTAGCATCTAGCTGTTGCTGCACCATTGTCACTGAGGTAGGCACATCCTTCACTCCCTTTCACGACAAACCTGCAACAAAGGAATTAGCCATTATGTAGTCATGTGATTTCTTCCTTGCCCACTGACAGCCTTAAACAAAGATTCTCCCTGTCTAAAGTGCTGAAAGGTATGCTATGGCACAGTTCTCTCTTGCTAGTAGTGTTGAGATACCTATACTAGTTTGGATCAAAAGAGTTTCTTTTCCAAGAATTTGTCTGTGTTAAACTGGCATTAGGTTAGTTACATGTAATCAGTGGAGCTACCAGTTCATATAAACCAATGGTTTTCAGTTAGGGGTGATTTTGCTTCCAAACCAAGAAACACTTGACAATATCTGGAGATTTTTTTTATTGTTACAAATGGAGGAAGAGGTTGAGTAGGGTGGATAGTTTTTGTCATCTGGTGGGTAGAATCCAGGGATGCTGCCTACATCCTGCAATGCACAAAGAAAAGTACCCCTTTTCCACGGCAGAGAAGTATTCAGCACAAAATGTCAGTAGTGTTTCTATTGAGAAACATAAACTAAGTGGCTAAGTGACTGAGAGTCACCATTTAGGGTGTGTACACATATTTTCCAAATTATAACGCTAAGATGTGAAGTCCAGGACAAATTGCGTAATAGTGAAATTGCAAATGAAACCAGATTAAAATGAACATCAAATTGAAACTGATCTGTAAAAGACATCGGAAAATCGGCAATAAAAAGTTTAAAGAAGAGGCATATAATTGGACAAGAAGTTTATAATTAGACAAAAGTTCAAATTGGGGTGGAGGTAGTTGTGTATATGAATCTCAGGTCTTTATTTTCAAAATAGCCAACTAGGAGATTTGTTCCCTTATATCTTAATTTCCAACCTTCATGGTTGATTCCTTAAGTAAATCTCAATATATACTTAATATCTTCTTCATCTTAGTAACATGTACAAATTTCTAAATTTATAGAGAAATTTAGCTAAAGCATAAGTCCTAGAGAAGGCTGCACTATCTAAATTTAAGTTATTCCAGAAAGAAAGAAACTCACGAATTCTCAAATTTAGCTCCATCTACCCATTGTCCTGTTCGATTTTTTGCCATCTTCAGCCCAATCCAGTGATCAGAACTGCATTTGTGTCGCCTAAGAAAATCCTTTAGAGACAAAATGAATTTCAAAATCATACGCGTCAATTTTTACTACAACCTATTGTGTACCTCCTGTTCTGTAGGTTGCGACGTGCAAGGCAACAACAGCTCAACTCCTGGCTTCACTAGAAAATAGCTATGGATTTTTTTTTTTAAACTGCTTTGTTTTTTCTCTGACCTTAGGTTTTCTGATTTGTGAAAAAAATATGTGAGATACATTTTCTTTAGATATGATTCCAAATTGATAAATATTCAATTTGAATATCTATCCCTTCACAATTTCCAAACTGTAAGCTACTAGAAAGCCAAGGTTTGAAACTGAGTCCTTGCATAGCATTTCTAATTACCAGATATTTATTATACTCTTTGTCCACTTCCCAGTAAACAGTAGTAGCTTCATTTTAGTCTTATTTCTTACTTCAGTTTATCTCCACAAACTGCATATGTAAACACTCCACGCACATACACACACACCCCCTCATATATCCAGTTTCTTTAGAATCTAATTATCAAATTTTATTTTTCTGCTAAACATTTAAATTTCCAAATACATCATTCAGAAATAAATACAATGTTTTTTCCTGACATTTCTCCTGCTGATGCATTGTTTAACTTACTAATAACCTCGACATTTTTCTTTAATCATAGAATTATATGAGAAAGTCCTTGAGGCTACTCTGCTGCTAAATGGCTTGGAAACTATAAGCTTCACATTGTATCACTCTACTTTTCAATTTAAGACAAATATAAAGGAGTTAGGCCAAATCACAATCCTGTAGTCAAATCCCATCTACCCCAACAGTGACGCCTGTAGCTTTTGGCATTTTAATACACTATCTTCACAGCATTGCATAAACCAATTTGAAAAAAATTAATCAGTTGGGCTAAGTTTGGATTTACAAATAAACAGATTAATAAAAACACTGTCGTACATTCAAAGGCCTTAATTTATAGTGAGGAAAATAATGTAAACATAATGTTAGAAAATATTCTACTAGATATGGAGAAGTTGTGAGTGTAATGAATACAATGTGAAATTGGAATTTACAGAAAATAAATATTAGTCTTTAAGGGAAACTTTGATACAGAATGTGCTCCAATAGAGGAGTAGAATATTCCATGTAAATGCAGATGCCCAAGGAAAAGAGGGTAATTCATAGCCTAGACTCAGGAAGGAACTTCGGGAAAGGCTTCAGGAGAGAGCTTGAGTGGTCTTGGTGACAGGGAACTGGGAGCTGTGTTTCCCAGGCCTGCTCTATGAAAAATGTTAACATTATTTGTTCAGTAAAAGCTTGCCCCATTTTAGCCCTTTGTTAGAACTGAAATAATTCTAAATAGGTGGAAATAGATATAAAAGTATTTTGTAAGACAAACTTTATCTCATATTATTTTGTAATTAAAATATACATTTAAACTCTTTTAAATAATCCATTATTCTTATGTAAATTTCTTCTCCACTCCACAGACAGCTTTACTTCATTCTGTTTGTCACTTAAATTTTGCCAATGTATATATTACATAGTAGTAACCTGTGATCTTCAAAATATATTAGGATATTTTATGATCAGTGTTTTTTCTTCATCCAAACAATACAAGCATTATTCCCTGATACATTTGAAGATTTCTTTTAACTTTAAAACAGATTATTTTTATGTACTTCGGGTCTTTACATTTCATGATCCTCACTATTTAGTCAGTCTTCACTGACAATATTCCTATAGTGAATATACTTATTCTAATATTGATTGTCTTTACATTTCTTCATGTTTCCTTTTATTAACATTCATTATTTTTCCATCTTGCTGCTTGCATAGCTTTTCTTTCCCCCAAGAGGAACTGTAAAGAACAGTCAGAGGATTTCTCAGAATGTTCATTTTTAAGTCTTGCAAAATTCAGCAGCAATACTATTAACTAAAGAAGCCCTATGACGTGAAGTGCGCACTTTAATTCTTGATTTACAGTATTTACTCCTAATCCATCTAGTTTTCAACATCTTATTACCTTTTGTTTCTTGCAAAATAGTTTTGTTTCCTTGCACTGACCTATAAACTGGCCCTGTCTGATTCACATGCCTTTAAATTTGAACCGATCTTCAGGCAGATCGCGTAAATAAACTTTGTTTACCACAAAGGCAACACACAACTGTCTTTTAACAAGGTGGACTCTTGTGCTATCCTGCTTTTCACTGAATTACTTCTCAGTAGCCAATTATTTGCACAAAATATTTTTAATCAAGCTAGATTACCTCTTATACTTTCTTTTCATTCTTAAAGAGACCAAACAAAGGTAAGTAAAAATATATGTTTACAATATAAGTGACTAGGGGAAAGAACAAATTTCACGAATGCAGAGGTGTGGTTTTAGAATCCCGTTTTAAAGTTCTTGGAGAACCTCTTTACTCATAAAGATTTTGTCATGTAAATCAAAATTTATTCAACAAGGATTCGTTAGACTTTTCATTTGTACCTGATTTTGTGCAGTTAATGATAAGTATAAAATTTCAGAGAAGACATGGTCATGCTCACCGAAAATTTATACTCTGGTGTAGGAGGAAACTTTGATTTTCCTCTTTATTGCATTACTGGTGGAGAGTGTTCCAATGGAAGCTGCATGGGACCTCAGAGACAGGCAGCAAAACAAAATGGGGAAGTCAGAGCAAAGTTTCTCTCAGGAAGTAGAATGGAGAAGCCTCTCCTTCCTCAAACAATTTTCCTTTTTTGGTGGAGTACTGGCTCTTAAAAGGTTTCCAAACATTGTGTTCTATGTACACTCTTTAAAATAAAGATAGTTACTAAGTCTACCACTTGATGTCAGTCTTATATTCTTCAAAGTACCACTAGGTTTTTTACCTTTATGTCACATGGCATATTAACACCTTCAATATTGTGCATAGGTAGGCATGAGGGAAAAGATTGCAAAATTTTAATGGTATTTGAATATTTCTAATGTTCCAACTCAAGATAATTCACAAAGAATGTATAGTACATTACTTACCATTTCTTCGTTGCTGTCAATTTTGGTTAGGACAGCATGTTGAGTGGAACAGTTGTATTTACTTGAATTCCAGTCTCCTTCTTCTTTAGAGAAATAATAGCATTTGTTTTGGAAACCAATCCAATCATATGGGCAAAATCTTTGAGAATCTGGAGTTGGTTTAACTGGAAATGAGACAAATATATATCTTAAGGACTATATAGAATAATATGTATTTTGAGATCACTGGACACAGGATTTTAATGTAAAAGATTATGGTCACTATGAAATTTGTATAACTATCACATGACAGGTTGAAAAAATTTTATGTCTTGTCCTGTTAGGTCAAATGACAGTAGTTTAGGATATATCACGGCATTTAAATTTCTTTCAACTTCAACTTCAGTGATATATAGGCTTCCCAGGAGCCACCAGAATGATTCTACTTGAGTAGGGTACCCTTTCCATTTCTGGGTAAATGAAACAAAATGAAATTCTAGCATTATCTAAGAGTAATCCAAATAATAATTTGTATTAATCAGTAATGAATCTAGATACATGATCTAATCTACAAAGAAGTAACAAAAATAATAAAACAAAATACAAAGTAAGTTGAATCGTTTGTTGTCAGCTAGGTATCACCATCGCTGTATAGCCTTGTGCTAGCCATTGAATGGAACTCACATGAGATTTGGAAGTAAAGAAGAAGATATAATTTCGGTAGACCATGAGCATAGGAACTTCACAGGTCTTTCCATGTGTTCCCCTATTGCAGTCTTGTTAGCTTCTTAGGCTTTCTTCCAAATGCGTTAGTGCATTGCGTCAACATTATTAGTCATCATTTCTCTTTCAGCTACACAGCCCCAGGCTTCAGTTATGCATCAGTCCCAGATCTTCCCACATTCATGTTATCCCTAATTTCTATATTAAAGCCTTATTCTCATAATATGTGTTTGTTTTCTGGAACATACCCAGACTGAATCAGTTTTTGGTACCAAACATAATTCTAAGGAAACAGACCTTGAGGATGAGATACGGTGTTAGTTTTTCCGTATTCACTCTAAAGGCATTGATCCAGCTACCAGTTAGAAATAGGATGCTGATTTGGTTTAAAGCCTATTTTCTAAAAAAAAAAACAAAAAAACAAAAAAAAAAAAACCGGGCGCAGTGGCTCAAGCCTGTAATCCCAGCACTTTGGGAGGCCAAGGCGGGTGGATCACGAGGTCAAGAGATTGAGACCATCCTGGTCAACATGGTGAAACCCCGTCTCTACTAAAAATACAAAAAAATAGCTGGGCATGGTGGCGCGTGCCTGTAATCCCAGCTACTCAGGAGGCTGAGGCAGGAGAATTGCCTGAACCCAGGAGGCGGAGGTTGCGGTGAGCCGAGATCGCGCCATTGCACTCCAGCCTGGGTAACAAGAGCGAAACTCCATCTCAAAAAAAGAAAGAAAGTTCTTTTCTTGAAGGATGTTGAATATTGGCCCCCACTCTCTTCTGGCTTGTAGGGTTTCTGCCAAGAGATCCACTGTTAGTCTGATGGGCTTCCCTTGTGTAACCCAACCTTTCTCTCTGGCTGCCATTAGCATTTTTTCCTTCATTTCAACCCTGGTGAATCTGACAATTATGTGCCTTGGGGTTGTTCTTCTTGAGGAATATCTTTGTGGTGTTCTCTGTATTTCCTGGGTTTGAATTTTGGCCTGACTTCCTAGCTTGGTGAAGTTCTCCTGGATAATATCCTGAAGAGTGTTTTCCAGCTTGGATTCATTCTCCCCATAACATTCAGGTACACTGATCCAATGTAGATTAGGTCTTTTCACATAATCCCATATTTCTTGGAGGCTTTGCTCATTTCTTTTCACTCTTTTCTCTAATCTTGCCTTTGTGTTTTATTTCATTTAGTTGGTGTTCAATCTCTGCTACCCTTTCTTCTGTTTGATCGATTCAGCTATTGAAACTTGTGCATGCTTTGCAAAGTTCTCATGCTGTGCTTTTCAGCTCCATCAAGTCATTTATATTCTTCTTTAAGCTGGTTTTTCTAGTTGGCATTTCATCATGTAATTAATAAAATATATTCATTGATACCAATTAAATGTTATCATGAATAATGGGAAAAGAATGAGATACTGAGAAGAGATCATAATTAAGACAGAAAGGAATAGGATCACACATAGAATATCCTGAAAAACAAAATAAAGAATGTAACTTACCTATTAGTACAGTAATAACATTAGATATTATTAAAATAGCACCAATTATGAAACACTTTTTATGTCTACTCATAAAACCTGAAAAATAAAAATAAAGACATTTAGGAGATTTCTGGCTCCAAAATGATGGCACAAAAGCAAGTTGGCTTTAATGAAAGCCAACGTTCAGAAAACAACAACAACGACAACAACAACAAAAACAAATTAGTGCTGGGATTGTCACCAGCAATATCCCAGAATTCAAATACGAGAAAGAGACAGTTCCTGGAGCCACAGAAAACTGAAAAGACAAACAAAAAACTCTGTACGGATAATAAAAGAACTAGACTTCCATATCCATGAGGCCCCTCCTCACAATCTTCCCAGTACCCAAGTGCATGGCAACATCATTTCTATACTGGAAAATGTGAGATTAAGATGGATAACCAGCTTCCCCACAAGCTGGACTTCTCTGGCAGGAAACTTGTCCCTGCCTTAACTCTTGAGAAACATCGGGCATGCCTGAAGAGAGATATACCTCTGAGGACAAGCAGAGACAAAGTGATGAGGAAGGACTACCATCCCCAGTACCAGAAACTCTGCTCTATTACTTGGCCAAAGAAGTTGTCAACTTAGAGGGGCTACTGAGCAGCAGCATGCTGAAAGAGAGGAAGAAAGAGGAAGAGGAAGAGGGAGAGAGAATGGAAGTGTTGCTTTATTGTCCAGGCTAGAATGCAGTCTAAAAATGGGTATTGAAAACCTCTTTTATACCAATAATTGTCCTTAATATTGGAGACAGGAAAAAGTGAGGGAAGAAAATAACAAAAAAGCAGCCAACCAATATTTCATTTAAACCTGTAAGTAGGTGTGATGTGTTGCTAATAAGAGTGTGTATTTTGTGTATTTAAAATGGAGAGTTCTATAAATGTTTATTAAGTTTACTTGTTCCAGATCTGAGTTCAAGTCCTGCATATCCTTGTTAATTTTCTGTCTTGATCTGTCTAATACTGATGTTGAAATGTCCCACTATTATTGTGTGGGAGTCTAAGTCTCTTTGTAAGTCTTATATATATGGGTGTTCCTGTATTGGGTGTGTATATATTTAGGATTGTTAGCTCTTCTTGTTGCATTGATCCTTTTACCGTTATGTAATGTCCTTCTTTGCCTCTTTTGATGTTTGTTGCTTTAAAGTCTATTTTATCAGAGGCAAGAATTGCAACTCCTGCTTTTTATTTATTTATTTATTTGTGCTCTCCATTTGGTTGGTAAATCTTTCTGCATCCCTTTGTTTTGAGTCTTTTGTATCCTTGCATGTGAGATGGGTCTGGATGCAGCATACCGATGGGGTTTGGCTCTGTCTTTTGATTGGGGGATTTAGTCGATTTAAATTTAGGATTAATAATAATATATGTGAGTTTAATACTGCCATTTGATGTTAGCTGGCTCTTTTGCCCATTAGTTGATGTAAATTCTTGATTATGTTGATGCTCTTTACTTTTTGGTATATTTTTGGAAAGGCTGATACTGGTCGTTCCTTTCTATGTGTAGTGGTTCTTTTAAAAGCTCTTGTAAAGCAGGCCTGGTGGTGATGAAATCTCTCAGTACTTGCTTGTTCACAAAAGATTTTATTTTTCCTTCACTTATGAAGCTTAGTTTGGCAGGATATGAAATTCTGGGTTGAAAGTTCTTTTCTTTAAGGATGTTGAATATTGGCTCGTAGGCTTTCTGCTTAGAGATCTGCTGTGAGTCTGATAGGCTTCCCTTTGTGGGTAACCTGACCTTTCTCTCTGGCTGCCCTTAGTATTTTCTCCTTCATTTCAACCCTGGTGAATCTGATGATTATGTGCCTTGGAGTTGGTCTTCTTGAGGAATATCTTTGTGGAATATCTTTCTCTGTATTACCTGGCGTTGAATATTGTCCTGCCTTGCTAGGCTGGGAAAGTTTCCTGAATAATATCCTGAAGAATATTTTTCAGCTTGGATTCATTCTCTTTGTCACATTCAGGTACACCTGTCAAACGTAGATTAGGTCTTTTCACATAGTCCCACATTTCTTGGAGACTTTGCTCGTTCCTTTTTATCCTTTTTTCTCTCATCTTGTCTTCTTGTTTTATTTCATTAAATTGGTCTTCGACCTCTGATATCCTTTCTTCTGCTTGATCAATTTGGCTGTTAAAACTTGTGCATACTTTGTGAAGTTCTCGTGTTGTGTTTTTCAGCTCCATTAATTCACTTATATTCCTCTCTATATTGTCTATTCTCCTTAGCATTTCATCAAACCTTTTTTCAAATTTCTTAGTTTCTTTGCATTGGGTTAGAACAAGTTCTTTTAACTCACAGAAGTTTCTTATTATCCACCTTTTGAAGCCTACTTCTGTTAATGGAACACACTTGTTCTCCATCAGGCCTTGTCCCGTTGCTGATGAGGAACTCTGATCCCCTGTTGAGGGAGAGGCGTTCTGATTTTGGGTATTCTCAGCTTTTTTAGGCTGGTTTCTTTCCTTTGTTATAAATTTATCCGTCTGTCGTCTTTGTAATTACCAACTTTCTAAATAGGTTTCTGAGTGGATGACCAACTTGTTGATTCCCAGTGCTGGAATCTGAGCAACCCACTACACTGGCTAAAACAGCAGTGTTAAGATTGATGGTGCTTTTCTGACTCCGCACCAAGAACCGCAGTGCCCAGGCACCGGCAAAACCACCACACCAGCCACAAGAGTCACACTGGCGACCCGAGGGGCTCCTCCGCTGGGAATCTTCTGGTTTGTGAGCAACAAAAATTCATCTGAAAGTGTGGCATCCTCTCGTTCTCTGTGCTTTCACTGGGAGCTACAATCCTGAGCTGTTAGTGATCAGCCATCTTGGATCTCTCTCCCTGATGTTTTCTTAAGTGATGAAAAAAATAAAAACCTGCCATCTAAGAACACTGTATTTTACAAAGCTATCCTTTAAATATGAAGAAGAGATAGTCTTTCCCAGACAAGCAAAAACTGAGAGTATTCACCACCACCAGTCATATCTTATAAGAAATGCTAAAGAAAGCTTTTCAACCTGAAAGAAAAAAATATGCAAAAAGAAAACAGCTGAATATATATAGAATACACTGATAAAATTACATGTATGGACAAACCCAGAATACTCTAAAAACTATAATTGTGATGCACATCTACTGACATCTATAGTATGAAGACCGGAAGACAAATCTATCAAAGACAATAATAGCTGCAGAAACCTGTTAAGAGGTAAGCAATAAAAATATGCAAGTTGAGACAACTAAATTAAAAAATGTGTGAGGGTGGAGTAAAAGTATTTGTTACCTTGTTTCGATTCTTTTCTTTATGATATAAGTTGTTATTTCTTTAAAATAACTTGTTATATCTATAAGATGTTTTCATAAGCTTCATAGTAATCACAACACAAAACCTATGATAGAGTCACTGAAAATATAAAGCACCTAATTAATATATACTGCCAGAGAAAATTATATGACCACAAAGAATGATAAGAAAAGAAAACAGAGATAAATTTAAAAAAAACCATAAAACAAGCAACAAAATAGCCACAATAAATCCCTACTTAACAATAGTAACACTGAATTTAGATGAAGTCAACTCTCCCATTAAAAGGCATAAAATGCAGGCCGGGTACAGTGGCTTGTGGCTGTAATCCTAGAACTTTGGGAGGCCAAGGCAGACGGATCACATGAGGTCAAGAGCTCAAGATCAGCCTGGCCAACATAGCAAAACCCCGTTTCTACTGAAAAAACAAAACTTAGGTAGGTGTGATGGTGGATGCCTGTAATCCTTGATACACAGGAGGCTGAGAGAGGAGAATTGCTTGAATCAAAAAGGTGGAGGTTGCAGTGAGCCAAGATCATGTCACTGTACTCCAGCCTGGGCAACATAGCAAGACTGTCCCCCACCCCAAACAACAACAACAACAACAAAAACCCCCAAAAAACAAAAATCAAACAAACAAAAGAAATGCAGGGATAGCTATACTTATATCAGATAAAATACACTACAAATCAAAGACTACTTTAAAAAGAGTCAAAGGTCACCATATAATGCTAAAGGGGTCATTTCATCAAAAGATATGACAGTTCTAAAAATCTATAGACCCAACACCAGAGCTCCCAAAAATATAAAGCAAACATTCACTGATCTAAAGGGAGAGGTAGACTGCAATGTAATAATATTAGGAGATTTTAACACTCCACTCTCAGTAACTGACAGATCATCTAAACAGGAAATCACCAAGGAAATATTGGAGTTACACTGCACGCTTGACCAAATATATCCAACTGACACGTACAGAAGCACTGCTGCAGAATACTCATTCTTTTTATCAGTACATGGGACAATCTGCAGAATAGACCACACATTTTAGGCCAAAAACAGATCTCAATATATTTAAAAAAAAAGTAGAAATCATATCAAGTATGTTTTCCTACCACGATGGGATGAAACTAGAAGTCAATAACTGGAGAAACCTCAGAAACTACACAAATATATGAAAATTAAATAACGTGCTCCTTAAAAACCAAAGAGTCAATGATGAAATTAAGAAGAAAATTTTAAAAATTTATTGAAACAAGTGAAAATGGAAGCACAATAAACCAAAATCTGTTGTATGTAGAAAAGCAGTACATGGAAGGAAGTTTACAGTAATAAATGCTTTTTTTAAAAAAGGTAGAAAGACTTCAAATAAATAACCTAATGATGACCTCAAAGGATTTAGAAGAGCAAGAACATAACAAAACCCAAATTAGTAGAAGAAAAGAAGTAATAGAAATCAGAGCAGAAATAAACAAAATGAGAATAAAAGAACAGCATAGAAGATCAAGAAAATAAAAACAAAAAACCACTTTTTGAAAAAGATACACAAATCAGCAAACTTTCTACTAGATGAAGAAAAAATAGAAAAACACTGAAATAAATAAAATCACAAACAAAACAATCAAACAAAAGAAAATGGAGACAAAACAGCTTATATCACATAGGGTCAGGCAAGGTGGCTCATGCCTGTAATCCCAGCACTTTGGGAGGCTGAGGTAGAAGGATTGCTTGAGCCTTGGAGTTCAAGACTAGCCTGGGCAACATAGCAAGATCCTATCTCTATTAAGATACCACCAACACGAACAACAACAGCTGATACCACAAAAATACAAAGAATCATCAGAGATTATTACAAAAAACTATATGTTAAAAATTGGAAACGCTAGAAAAAATGAATAAATTGCTGCACAAATACAATCTACCAAGATAGAACCATGAGGAAACAGAAAACCTCAATGAACCAATAATGAGTAATGAAGTTGAAGATGTAATCTTCCTATCTTTAGTATAGCAAAGATCAAGAAAGGGAAGAAACAGAATATATATATATATATATATATATATATATATATATATATATACATGACTGTCATCCTTTTTGGGATTGTCCATGCCTCAGTCCAGAACTTCTGGCATTGACATGGCATGGAGCAACTGGCATACTCATACACTTCTGCTGAGATTATCTACTATTTATGGTAAAATATAGTTAAGTTAATCTATGAATATTCTGTGCTTAATAAATCTTCTTATATCTCAAGTTATATTCAGTATTCATTAAAAAGACAAATATAAAATATGAAGTTGTTCAAAACCATCTAATTTGCAATAGTCAAAATGTGGCACAATCCAAATGTTCATCCAAGTGAAAAGATTAATATATGGTGGTATACACCTAGCAGTGAATGTACTATAGTAAACAACTGCTAATACAGCCTGAGGCTAAATCAGCTCACTTTGTGTTTTTGTACAACCACCAGCTAAAAATATAATTTATATTTTAAAAATAAACAAAATAATTAATAGAGGAACAATATTTTGTGACACGTACAATTTTATAATATTTACATTTCCATGTTCAATTTTATTGACACACAGCCATGGTCAATGTCTATGCATTTTCTATGGCTGTGTTTCTGTGCAGAATTCAGCAGCTGCAGCAGAGGCTGTATGTCTAACAAAGCTTAAATATTTACTATCTGGCCATTTTTATTAAAAAAATTCAATGTTTTCTATAAGAATGAACTTCTGCTATATATTATGACATTGAAAAATCACACCAACATAATGTTGAATAAAAGGAAAAAGATACAAAGATGCATGCAAATTGTGTGCTTGTATTTATGATTCATGCAAATTGCATACTGTATTTTATAGGTATTTAACTTTGATCATATTTATATAAAGTTTTTTAATAGCCACAACTAACCTATAGCCATAGAAGTCAACATACTCATTAACATGGACAAGAAAGTGTTGAACAAAAGTGAGATTATCATGGTAAATAATTTTACCATAATAATTTTTGTATCTCCTGATGCCTTACGTAGGTCATGTAATTAACAAAATTGATTAATTGTCACCAATTAAATGTTATTATGAATAATGAAAAGAGAATGAGATACTGAGAAAAGATCATGATTGAGACAAAAAGGAATAGAATCATATATAGATAGCTCTGAAAAATACAATAAAGGATATAACTTACCGATCATTACAACAATATAATTAGATATCATTAGCACTGATTATAAAATACTTTTTATGTCTGCTCAGAACACCTGAAAAATAAACATAAAAACATTTAGGAGACTTCTTGTTCCAAAATAATGGTATAAAAGCAAATTGGCTTTAATGCCCCCCACAGAAAGCAACAACAACAAATTCAGTGCTGTGATTATCACCAGCAATATCCCAGAACTCAAATATGAGAAGGAGACAGTCCTTAGAGGCACAGAAAAGTGAAAAAAGCAAAAACTCCCTACAGATAATAAGGGAATTAGACTGACATATCTATGATGCCTCTCACTGTAATCTTCCTGGTACCCAAGTGCATGGAAACATTGTTTCTATACTGGAAAACATGAGATCAAGATGGATAACCAGCTTCCCCACCAGCTTGAGTTTCCTGGCAGGAAACTTGCCCACCTGCCTTAACACTTGGGAAAATCAGGGGTGCCCTGAAGGGAGACATATCTCTGCAGAGACAAAGTAGGGGGGCAAGGCTACCATCCCCAGTACCAGAAACTCTGCTGTTACTTGGCCAAAGAAGATGTCAATTTAGAGGAGCTGCCAAGCAACATTATGCTATAGGAAGTTTGTTCCACAAGTCCTGTGGGCTGGAATCCTAGTCAGTCTTCCAACACCACTGGCATACCCCTTTGGAACCTCTCCCATTTGGTATGGGTGGCACTCTGATTGTTTACTAGGATCAAGGCAAACATGGGTTAAGGTACCATGTAGTCATAAAAAGGAGGCAGAAACATAGCCCCCCCCCCCCAATCAACAGGTAAATTACAAGGAACACTTAAATAAATATATTCAATTATAAACCAAAACAAGCCATATAAAATCCTTCAACATAAAAATATGGATGCATACCCATAAGAAACAACAGCAAACAGGGAACTGTGATATTCTCAAATGAAGAAAGTTGGAACCAGAGACAGACGTTAATGAGATGGCAATATTTGAGCACTTGTACCAAGCATTCAAAATAGTAGTTTTAAGAAAACTCAGTGGTCTCTAAAATAACACACAAAAATTCAGAAATTTATCAGAGAAATTTAACAAAGGAATTGAAATACTTTTTGAATATCAAAAGGAAATATTGGAACTGAAAAATACATTTGCTTAACTGAAAATTTTATTAGGGTCTCTCAACAGGAGAATGGATCAAAGCAGAAGAAATAATGAGCATGAAGACGGGCTTTGGAAAATATATAAGAAAAGGAGAAAGAAAAGAATAAAGATGAATGAAGAATGCCTACCTATTATAAAAAAATTACTGGAAAAGACCACGGCTAAGAGTTATTGATGTTCAAGAGAGAGTGCACCCAGAGCAAGGGGTAGAAAACCTATTCAAAGAAATATAATAGAAAGCATTCCAAATCTTGAGAAGGAGATATTCAGGTAGATAAAGGTCAGAGAACACCAAACAGATTTCAACCCAAACAAGACTACCCCTAGGCATATAATAAATAATCCGACTCTCAAATGTCAAGCACAAAGAGAGGATCCTAAAATCAGCAAGAGAAGCGAATAACATCTAAAGGAGCTCCAATTTATCTGACGACAGACTTCTCAGTGGAAAGCATACAGGCCAGGAGGAACAGAGATGATGTTTTCCTAAGTGCTGAAAAAAATAAAAACCTGCCATCTAAGAACACTGTATCCTACAAAGCCATCCTTCAAATATGAAGAAGAGATGGTCTTTCCCAGACAAGCAAAAACTGAGAGTATTCACCACCACCAGTCATATCTTATAAGAAATGCTAAAGAAAGTTTTTCAACCTAGAAGAAAAAAACATGCAAAAAGAAAACAGCTGAATGTATATAGAATACGCTGATAAAATTACATGTATAGACAAACCCAGAATACTCTAATACTATAATTGTGATGCACAATCTACTCACATCTCTAGTATGAAGATCAGAAGACAAATCTATCAAAGACGATAATAGCTGCAGAAACTTGTTAAGAGGTAAGCAATAAAAATATGCAAGTTGAGACAACTATATTAAAAAATATGAGGGTGGAGTAAAAGTATTTGTTAGTTTTGTTTCTATTTTTTTCTTTATTATATAAGTTGTTATCTCTTTAAAATAACTTGTTATATCTATAAGATGTTTTTATAAGCCTCATAGTAATCAGAACACAAAACCTATGATACAGTCACTAAAAATAAAAAGCACCTAATTAATATACACTACCAGAGAAAATTATGTGACCACAAAGAATGACCATAAGAAAAGAAAGCAGAGATAAATTTAAAAACAACCATAAAACAAGCAACGAAATAGCCATAATAAATCCTTAGTTAACAATAATAGCACTGAATTTAAATGAAGTCAACTCTCCAATTAAAAGGCATAAAATGCAGGCCAGGTAAGGTGGCTTATGCCTGTAATTCCAGAACTTTGAGAGGCCGAGGGAGGCGGATCACTTGAGATCAGAAGCTCAAGACCAGCCTGGCCAACATAGCAAACCCTGTTTCTACTAAAAATACAAAACTTAGCTATGTGTGGTGGTAGAGGATCTGCGATCCTGGCTACACAGAAGGCTGAGGCAGGAGAATTGCTTGAATCCAAAAGGTGGAGGCTGAAGTGAACCAAGATCATGCCACTTTACCGTAGCCTGGGCAACAAAGCAAGACTGTCTCACAAAATAAATAAATAAAATAAAAATTATAAAAGGAATAAAGGGGCTGAACTGGTAAAGAAAAAAACCCTGACTGTATGCAGCCTACTAGAAATCCACTTCACCTATAAGGGCACACAGAGAATGAAAGTGAAGGGATGAACAAAGATATTTCATGCAACTAGAAACCATGAAAGCAGGAGTAGTTATATCAGATAAAATAGACTACAAATCGAAGACTACTTTAACAAGAGACAAAGGTCACTATATAATGCTAGAGGAGTCAATTCAGCAAGAGGATATGATAGTTTAAAAAATCTATGAACCCAACTTCAGAGCTCTCAAGTATATAAAGCAAACATTCATTGATCTAAAGGGAGAGGTAGACTGCAATGTAATAATATTAGGAGACTTTAACTGTCAGTAATGGACAGATCATCTAAACATGAAATCACAAGGAAATATTGGAGTTACACTGCACGCTTGACCAAATATATGACACGTACAGAAGCGCTGCTGCAGAATACTCATTCTTTTTATCAGTACATGGGACGATCTGCAGAATAGACCACATTTTAGGCCAAATAAAAGTCTCAATAAATTCAAAAGGGTAGAAATCACATCAAATATCTTTTCTTACCACAATGGGATAAAACTAGAAGTCAGTAACTTCAGAAACCTCAGAAACCACACAAATACATGAGAATTAAATAACGTGCTCCTTAACAACCAAAGAGTCAATGACAAAATTAGGAAGAAAAGTTTAAAAATTTATTGAAATGAGTGAAAATGGAAGCACAATAAACCCAAATCTGTGGTATGCAGAAAAGCAGTACACAGATGGAAGTTTATAGTAATAAATGCTTTTTTAAAAAAAGGTAGAAAGACTTCAAATAAATAACCTAATGATGACCTCTGAGAATTTAGAAGAGCAAGAACATACCAAAACCTAAATTAGTAGAAGAAAAGAAGTAATAGAAATCAGAGCAGAAATAAACGAAATGAGACTAAAAGTACAACATAGAAGATAAAGAAACAAAAACAAAAGATGTGGCTTTTGTTGTAAGTGCAGCACAAAATCGCAGAGCTAGACCCAAAGAGGTGATTTATATTGGAACATGGTCTTCTCAGACATAATTAGCAGAAACGGATGAACAAAGACCATTGTAACACTTTGGTGTCTTACGAAAAGATAAACAAAATATAAAAAAGATAAAATCAACAAACCTTTAGCTAGACAGAGAAAAAATATAAAAAACTCAAATAAAAAAATCAGAAACAAAAACAAACAAACAAAAACATGGAGACAAAGCAGCTGATATTATATAGGGCCAGGCATGGTGGCTCATGCCTGTAATCCCAGCACTTTGGAAGGCTGAAGTAGGAGGATTGTTTGAGCTCAGGAGTTCAAGACTAGCCTGGGCAACATAGCAAGACCCTATCTCTTTTAAAAACAAACCACAACCACCACCACCAACAACAACTGTTACCACACAAACACAAAAAATCATTAGAGATTATTATAAAAAACTATATGCTAAACATCGGAAATTCTAGAAAATACGAATAAATTGCTACACAAACACAATCTACCAAGATTGAATGATGAGAAAACGGAAACCTCAAGGAAACAATAATGAGTAATGAGGTTGAAGATGTAATCACCCTATCTTAGTACAGCAATGATCAAGAAAGCGAAGAAACAGAGTAAGTTTATATGATGGTCATCCTTTTTTGGGATTGTACATGACTCAGTTGAGAACTTCAGTCCAAGCTCTTTCTGATGATGTTTTTTATCATCTTTCATATATAACCTTGTTAATTTCAGGAATTATTTATTAATTTTCTTTAAACCTTAGGTATCAAAAAGACAGGAACTCGTTCCCCCTTTTCCATGCCACAAATCAAGTAAATATGTCAATAAGTCTTTCAATTTTTCTGCCCATAAATTGGCATAATGTAAAGAGGGGTATTAATGTTAGAGATATCATGATTTTAAAATCTTGATCAAACATTTGTGACATATAATTGAATTTTCATACCCCCTTTGATCCTATGTCTCTTCATCCACTTCTATTTTTTCCAAATTAAAGAGCATATATGTGTTGTGTTTTTACAAAGTCTAGTTAAAACGGGAAGTCTAGTTAAATAAAAGGTAACTTTTGCTATTTTTTTCTTTTGTTATAGTTGTCCTGTTTTTAAATATTTAATCATGGTGTGTATGTTAAGAGTGTAAAGATTACTGATATTTGCAGCAAGCAGAAGTATTTCTTTTTAGTCGGTTTCATGTCCCTTATTTGTAGAAGGTAGTCAGGCCATTTTGATATTTTTTCTTCCAGAATGACTTTTGAAAAGAAAACCCCAAGCTGCTTACTAAACCAATGGCCTTTTCAACTTAAAAAATCTAGCTTATTGAAGTAATGTTTCTGAGAATTGTGGAGGGATTTTAACAAGAGGAAATAACTCTGAGCTAACAGGAAGAAAGACGGGCAATGCACATCCTGATCGTGTGAGAAATCACAATTTGCAAATACAAATACAGTGGAAAGGAAAAATAGGAGCCCTTTCCACTGCAAAGTTGGCTAGATATCAGCATATAAGGACTTGATGCTATCAACAAAGATGCTAGATCTTAAGTAGAGATGACCCCCAGCTTCAAAAAAGATATACTTTTAATGTGGCAAAGAGACGGTGTGGCTTTTGTTGTAAGTGCAGCACAAAATAGCAGAGCTAGACCCAAAGAGGTCATTGATATTGGAACATGGTCTTCTCAGAGATAATCAGTAAAAACTGATGACCGAAGACCATTGTAACACTTTGGTGTCTTATAAAACCTGGGAAACTTCATATAAACTTGAAAGAAACCTCTAACTCTCAATACCACCAAATAAGAGAAAGTAACCTGTCCTGTCCACTCAGTGAGATGGAGACTTGAAGTGACATGAATTTTATTTAAATAACTAATGAATTGAACATTATTGCACTTCTGAATATGTAGGTACAAATTTAAACCTGCTATGTGTTCATTCTCTATTTAATTTATTCCTGAGCTCTGAAATCGAGTTTTTAATCTCAGTATAAATTGTTTTCACTGCCGTTATTTTTATTATTTCCCAGAATGTTTTCATTGTCACTGAATTCTCAATACTTATGTAGGAGGCTGCAATTATTTACATGAGTTATGAAAAAAATTAGTGGCATTGGTAGAATGTGGTGAGCATAGCTGCCTTTCAAAACTACTAAAAAATTGTGATCTCCCACTCTGAAGCTGATATTGAAACATGAATTTCAAAGTTGCTGAGCCTTCTTAATGTTTGATGAAGCTATATATAAAAGGACACTTCCCCAGAGAGTTCAAGAACAATTGATTTAATTAACAGTGTAGCTAAAATAGTTCTATATGCAATTTGATAATCTAAACAGCCAAGGACTGCAATTGTTTTTCCCATAGAGAAGTTTCAGTGACTCAACCATTTTCTGTTTGATTCTGATCTCTAAGGAAATATAAGAAAGATACAGAGTGACCAATGCATTTAAAATCAAACAAAATATTATTTTTCTTAGCTAATAGCTATAGAAAAATTCATAAATGATTTTTATGATAAGCAGAGCAAATAAAATATCTGTTAAAATGTATATAAAAACTAACTGTATTATGCTGCCCTAAATTACTACTATTAAAATGATGTTCATAATTTCAGATTATATACACATATATAATATATACAATATTATACTGAATATATTATATTCAGTAACTTAAAATATATTCATATATAAGATATATTACATAATATATTTATATACAATGTATAAATTTATACAATTGATTAAAAGTAGAAAATTACACCAGTATTATTAGTGGCTGGAAGGCATTCTTAAAGCTTTTGGTTAGGATGATATTTTGTGCTACCATGAAATATTGATCTTATACCCCCAAACCTCTTTTATTTAACTTTAGACAGAATTATAAAACTGGCTAAAATAAGGGAGGAAGGATAAAGTATGTGTTCTAACGTACCACAGCAATAATTTTTTTGACTGTAGCCTACACTGGTAGGTTGACATTCAGCCAAATGGGAAATGCTTAAAGCTCATCATAGTCCCTAAATCATAGATAGTGTATTGAATGCACTTATTTTCAGCCGTTCCTCCTCCATATATTTCGACATAAATAAACCCTGTTGAAATCCCAAAGATTTAGTTAGGATCTTACATAATCTGAACTTGCTATTTAATAAAACCAGTGCTACTAGCTTGTTTTGTAAGTGTATTTTGTAGAACATTTTTTTCCGTATCTTTCCTAGGGTTGGTAAAGACATCTCCGTGGATATCGGAGTACTAGCAATTACTTAGTAAGAGTAGGAAAGGGATATATTTTTTCTATTAAGTACTCCTAAAGCCTGGTCTGTCTTTATACCATCCAATAAAGCAATCTTTAAAAATACTAGAAATATTGGCTAAATATTTCATATTATGTATACATTTTGAAAATTATGAGTATCAGGATCATATTTAACAAATTTGCAAGTATTTTATAAAATATTTGGTGAAAGTGAAACTAAATCTTGAGCAGTTTTAAGTCACGGTTAACCCTTCTCCATTATAATGCAGACAATGTAAAGTAAGTGAATTTATTAAGACAAAACAGTCATATACAAATCTCAATCCTGTTATAAGAAGGAATTTTCTAGTTTCCCATAATAAAGCACAGAATTTAATTCTTTTCTTCAAAAGCTTTAACATTATGCATCACAATTTTGATAAATAACACTCATTCTGAACAACCAGAAATGTTCTTACCTTTCTTCTTTTAATCCGTTTCTTGATTTGCTGCTAGCAGCTTTGTGTCATATCTTCCAGAACCTTTCTTAAAAGCTATAACTTTGTTTAATATAAAAATGTTACTCTTGCTTTTACAGCACAGATGCAAAACTAGAGTTATACCACTTTTAAAGTCACTGAAAGTTTAAGCAGCATTTCCCAAACTAGAAGTAACCATGTGACAATCTATTAGTCATACCCTTGTTAATCACAGCTGTCTTCTTGACCAAAAAGACTTGTCAAAGAGGAAGGAAGTTGGTGAAATAAAAATTCAAAGTTGAAGAACAAACACATACTTTCTTTTTCATCTGAACAACAGAACACAAAGTTACTCAAGTGGCTGTTTTCTGATTCATCCACTAGTGGTTCAAAACTGGTATCCACTCAAAGCTGCAGGAGAGGCTGATACTGATTAATCCAACAGCATTCTTTAGGACACTATTGCTTTATTGTCTTGTGTTAAGAAAGATCACCTTAAAAGTGATAGAATCAAAGAAAAAGCAATACTTTAAACTTTGGCTACTGAAAGAAAACCAAAAACTGTTCTCTCTCTCAAAGACAAATATTTGCACAGTCACACATGTAGGTGTGGAAACACACACACACACACGCACACACAGGGAGAAAAACAAAATAGAAGTAACGAAGTGCCCAGAATGTTATCATCAACATGCAACATGTGGCTATTACGCTTTTGCTAAGTTACGAGGCCACATTTTTTTTTTTTTTCAGATCTGCTCGAATCAGTTTTCCAGTGATTTTGTGTTCCTGCTCAACAAATAGGGAGGAGATGAGGAGAAGCAGCCAGCATCCCATGAGCAGCTTTGGAATTAACACTGCATTTGTTCTGAGAGAGAAACTTGAAGAGGAAAAAGGAAATGAGAATAGAGAAGAAACTGTAGTATGAAGGAATTAAAAGAAAGAAAATGTGAAGAGAATAAGAAACAAAGGTCTAATCACTTCTGGGTGTCCTTACACATACCTCTGGTCACTTCCGTCAGCTCTCAGAAAGAAATTATGCAAAGTAAACTGCAGAAGGAAAGGACAGATAACAAAATTGCTCTTTTCATTTTTGGACAGAAAAAAGACAGAAAATTTTTGAGGAAATGGAATATATTCTACCTTTGTTGTTAACAAAAGATTGTTTCCAAAGAACTATTAGAAATGCATGTACAGAAAAATATAGAGGTTACACAGTTATAGTTAAGTGAAATTTAGTTTTGTTCCAAAAAGGAAAACAGTCAAGATGTAACAGTCAAGATATAAAACATTTTCAACACGGCAAAATGTTCTCTGCTCTTGCCTTGCAGTTCATTTTCACCCCTGAAACCAGGCAGCAGCCAAGTAGGAAGCTTTGCTGGTTTTAGACATTTCTGTAAATAGAATGATACAACTGGCAATTCTGGTAAGTCTGATGTTTTTCACTGAGCACAATGTTTTTGAGTTTTATCCGTGTTGCTGCTCAGATTAGCAGTTAATTAGTTTTTATTACTGAGTAGTATTTCATTGTATAGACATATAATAACTTTTATCCGTTTTATAATAAAATGTATCCATTACTACACTGAGCTTTTTCCATTTCATGGATATCATAAGAAAGGGCAAAATAAACGTTTATGTGAAAGTCTTTCTGTTGACACATTTTTAAAATCATTTGAAGAAATATTTAGAGGTGAAACTGCTAAGTTAGATAGAACATATATGTTTTATTTTATAAACATACATTTTCCCAAAAAGTTGTGCTATTCCCAACATTAATATTGAATGGTTCTATTTGCCCCACAACAATAGCAACATTAGATATGCCCAATCTTTTTAAATTTAACCATTTAAATTTATCCATAGGTGTGTAGTAGAATCTAAATGTGATTTTAACTTGTACATCTCTGATGTTATATTGAGCGTTTACTCATGTGCTTACTGGCAACTCATACATCTTTTTTCAATAACCTACTTAAATATTTTGCCTATTTTATGGATTTATTTGTTTTCTTATGGTTATTTGTACATATATGCAAATATATATAGAGAGAAACATAGATACACATAAAATGTGTATATAAAAAAGTAAAAAGGGTTGTAAAATAATATAGAAAAATTCCATTTTTAGATAAATGTATTAAAAATACTTTCCATCATTTGTAAGTGCCTTCTCAAAAAGTTTTTCTCAAAAATTTAAAAAATCTAGAATCTTTTAAATGTTGTACTCTCTAATCCTGACAAAATTACATATTCTCCCTCGTTGAGGTCATGACTTTCTCCTTACTTAAAGAAGATATTGCGTCCTTCACACTCTTCTTACAACTCTCCCTTCCTTTCCTTTCTTTGTTATTGGTCATAAGGCCAATAATAAGGTTGTGTGTTAAGCTTATAAGGAAGATAAAAGGCTATACTAAGAATGAATTTGGACCTAATTAATATATAATAACAACAACTTGGAGTGTATACAATGGGACTGGATTCTGAGAGTGGCTAGATCATAAGGGAAACATAAAGCTGGATAAGGGAGATTTTATCAACATGGGGAATTCAGTTGCAATATAGAATTTCATAACTTGGATACATGCTGTGGACAGTGCTGATACACTGCTGAAATAACTCCAAGAAGATTGGAGAAAGCAATGGCTCATGTTATGTAGAGTAACATTCCAGATTTCCCATGGCAGGCAGCTGAAGAAATGATAAAAATGCACAGAGAAGGGGCATGCTACAGTGGATAAACTATATAAAGACAGGAAATCCACCAGTGGACTCTGTTCTATGGGATGGTATCATCAGCACCATAAGGAAGGCACTGGTAAAAGGACTTACTGAAACATCACTGAGAAGCTTAGCATGACTCTCCTCTGCGTGCCAAAGATTACAGTAGGAGATGTTCCCACAGAAGTGGATTCAGAGAAGTATTGGGAATGACAAGGTTTAAAGTAGAAAAGGCCAAGTGTTAGAGCTCCACTATGAAACAAGGTGGGCCCCATTGTGGTACTAAGGGTTGAACTGCAATAGCAGCTGGGATTACTCACCCACAGAGCTATAGCAATGTCAGATAAAGCTCAATGTTCGCAGAAATAATACAGAGAGCAAAAAGGTGCTTCTACTTCTGTGCTTTTCTTTAACAACTGGTGGCACAGAGAAAAACACACACACAACAAGCCCTGGTCTGTAACACCAGCTGATTTCTGTGATGTGCTTATTCCCATCATTGCTGATTTCAAGGTGCCCAGGTAATATCATTGAACACAGAGTTGGAAATTAACGTGCAGTAGTACAGCATTAGTTATTATTTTCACTATACAGATGTAACAGATGTTAACAATTTCATGCGTGGATAACAGCAAAATGCACTAAAAATCATCACAAATTGATGGGTTCTAAGTAATTGTTTTATTAGCTTGGTGTTAGGTCCACAACTATGCTAAATGTCATGGCCCGGGTTAGGTTCCAGCCCATGCTGAGGTCTGGGGGGAGTGGGTGGATGGACGATAGCTGAAAGAACACTTGGGGGCCATAGGCAGGTGAAATGGAGTTTTATTTAGCAGCTCTCTCATCTCACACAGTCTGCCTTTATCTGGGCTGTCTGCTCCGGCTCTGTGGCTCCTGCTGCTCCCACACCTGCAGCAGCACTCCCTGGTCTGCAAGCCCAGCTCTGTCGGGACCAGCAGTGAACTCTTTCCCTTTGGGTACAAGCTAGTTCCTGGTTCCCCTCTGCTCACCTTCAAGGCGACTGGCTCTCCTTTAGAAGGGTCAGTACTGTTACTCTCTTTTTGGACACCAGTGTGAGCCGTATCATGCCATGCCATGCCATGCAATGCTGAGCCAAGCCAAGCCCAAGAGTGACTGTACAGCATCATCAGGGTTGTTGTATTTATTCCATGGCTTCCAGGCAAGCATGAGCTTACACAAACAGGCTATACAACGTGGAGTTACATGTCTACGCTCCAGACTCACTGAGTCATTTGCCTGGATGTCTGTCTCAGCCTGCTTCTTGACCAAAGCACATTCCTGTACCTTACAGTTGGTGAAAAAGTACCTTTTAATATTATTTTTATATTTTATGTTTTTGCTTTTAATATTATTAACTGAAAGTTTAGATCACGTAATTTAAAAAAATAACTATGCTTAACAATGGGCTCAAAAACCCTCGGAAATTGAACAATCAGCTCTTGCAAGTATGCCACTGGCTTTCCTGGACATGTACAACAGGAAAGAAATCAAAGGTAGATGACTAGTAGGCTAAGGGCAATCGTGTCCTCAAAACTTATAAACTATTACCCCAATCTAGTTTGGCCAAAGCCAGTTTTCTGACAGAGGACCCAATAATGGGAGAAATCATGGTTAAAAGGAAGCCCTTTTCAACACCCAGACTAGAGTAAATGGTAAGTACTCCTCCAGTCCATCCCCGGTGGGACTTACATTAGCCTTCTCAAGCTGCCATAATGAAATAACACAGGCTGGGTGGCTTAAACAACAAGAACTTATTTTTCATCATTTTGGAGACTCAAAGCCTAAGATCAAAGTGTTAGCCAGGTTAATGCTCAGTGAGGTCTCCCTTCCTGGAGCTGACTACTGCCTTCTTACTGTGTCCTCACATGACATTTTCTCTGTGTATATGCAGAAAAAGAGAGCTCTCGGATATTTTCACTTCTATCTGTATGTACACCAGTCTTATGAGATTAAGGCCTTATCCCTATGACCTTATTTAACCTTAGGTTCCTCCTAAAGATACTATCTTAAAATATAGTCACATTGGGAGTTAGATCTTCAGCATATGTGTTTGGATGGGAGCACACATCAGTTCTCAAGATTCATGGCCATTTATTTGAATAACTAGGAAAAAAATCTAGGACATACATTTCTAGGATTACAGAATGCAGGGATAGGTTGACATTGATTCTCAAGAAAGGATCATGACCCTCCTGTTAGAGTAGAAGCTTATGGAGTCCCAGTAATAGAGTACTTGTTTATGTCTGGTTCACACTAGGCCCAAGGACTCACCCAGTAGACATTCTTTGGCCTTTGAACATGTAATTGGGCATTGCATAATTAAGAATTGGTATAAAGTTTACATTGGTTCCTTGGCCAGCTTGGTACATACTGTGATGAGAAAGACCAAAGCTCCTGAAACTGTTCTCCCCTCCACTGGGCATGATAGTAAACCCAAACTAATTTTGAATTATAGATTTAATGACAAAGGTTATTTCCACTCATAAATACCT